GTTTGATGGAGGCATTATGCAGGTGTATTCCTTTTGTCCAATCTGTCATAACCTGGGAATCTTTTTTAAATAATATTTTTATTTTCACAATAAACAAAATAATAACATTAAAGGAAAAAAACATAAAATAAAACATTTAAAACAACTGTATACACACTTGTGGATTTAATATTAAGTGTGTATAACCTGGGAATCTTGAAGTGTGCAGAAGAGGACTATGATGAGGTCCAGCTGTTTCCTTCAAAGGAGAAGCACCAACATCTTATTAGTGGCTCTGTGGCAGGAAAACAATTCTCCTACCAGGGTTTTGAGTTCTGGCACCTCTCAGGTGGCCACTGTTATTATAAGAGAACAAGGGTGGGTTCTGGCATCTCTTTTTCTAGAAAAATAGCACTTTCTCCCACCACCCTTAGACTCTGATAACATGTGCCATACAACACCTCTGTCTCCCCAGCCTTGCAAAAGTCAAAGTATACAAATAACATGAAGGCCTTTTAATTATCCAACCAGAGCCTACCACACTTCAAGTCTTGCCCAAGGTCCTGTTCTTGCCTTATCTCAGTTTGGGCTTGACTTATTTAGAAACAAGGTTTGTCTAAGCTTAGAAATAACATGCAAATCTGACAAAGATTTCATCAGATAGGACAGTGGGATACATACAAGCAATACTCTTGCTTTCAAACTTCAATTCTTTGTGGGTTGGAAATGTATAACTGATACTTTGGAGAATCATTTTTGTTTGCTTTTACCATGCTGCAAAACAAACTATGATTGTTATTGTGCTAAAGTTCTCTTTGCTAGCTTTCCTGTGTTGTTCCTCTATTCCGAGCAACTCTTGTATGTGCACTTTCATTTCTGTTATGCCTAATCTCATAGATTGTAGCTCTTAGGTGACTGGCTCTGGTGCTGAAGAATATGATCACATGACAAACAATTAAAGTCAATGATGCACACAACTGCTACAAAAGTTGTCTTGTTTGTGTGTTGCTTGATCCTGATCATTGCTTTACTTGTAAAAGTATACTTGGGTAATTTTCTGCAAACAAACTGATTTTCCTGTATTTGTGTGTCCACTGTGTTTCAAACAGCAATGCTATGCTGGGTATTAGACATAATTCTATTATACTCTCCCAGAATTTTTTTTATCATAGCTTTAATTGTGATACCTGTATTACATACAGTACATTTACAGTGAAATTCAGTTTATGGGCCGAGTAGGGGGCAAAGGTTGCCTGCAGGTAGATTGCGCTATCTGGTGCTTGAGCCCCATCTTATTTTTCTGCTATGGTGGAACAACCATCATATCTTTGCCCAGTAGGCTATGTCTACCGCAGTTTGGTCTGAGACTGAAATGAACCCAATGAATTCCTCATGTACAGATGCATTCCCCTCACTTTCTTCCACAAATCTTACACCTAGAGAAAGTTGTTGTATGCAAGAAATATCTACTGTTTCATCTGCTAAAACTGAGAAATTTGTGGAAGCATCAGTCTTCACAACAATATCCTCTCTTGAAATTTGGCCACACAACTTGCTTAAATTGCTTTGTGTTTTTGCAAAGGGGTACTTAGCGGGTGGCGCTGTGGGTTAAAGCCTCAGCGCCTAGGACTTGCCGATCGCATGGTCGGCGGTTCGAATCCCCGCGGCGGGGTGCGCTCCCGTCGTTCGGTCCCAGCGCCTGCCAACCTAGCAGTTCGAAAGCACCTTCGGGTTCAAGTAGATAAATAGGGACCGCTTATCATGATTGTATACAGTACAGTGTCTGTTTATTTTCCTATTTAGCTCTTACATATGACTTATTAAATTGCTGTTCAATTGACACATTTGCTGTTCAGTTGACACATGTGTCCCGTATCTCTTGGACTACTAGCTAGGGAAATAAAATGCAATAATGACATATAGGTCCTTTCAAAAAAGCAGTGAATACCAACCAGTGAGACTATTTAGAAAGCCATGCATGGCAAAACGCTATTGGACTCATACTATGATGATTGAATCCATAACTTTTTGTAGGGGGTCTAGGTTTGTGAAAACCACTCTAAAGCACCTGATACAAGATTTGCTTTTGGTAATTCCCTATATCCAGCTTTTTCTGCTATTCAGGTTGTACAGTGCTGGTAGCTGCCTCAGTATTTTCATTTGGGATGTTCTCATGCCCTGCTCCTACCAGTACCTCAATATTTTCTGTCTCTTTTAGGTGCTACTTGCATGATATCCAGTGAAGCAGTATGTTCAGTATGTGTCTGAGGCTCACTTGGTGTCTTCTGCTTTTTGAAGTAGCTGATATCCATACCTAAACAAACAGAAACAGCTCTCCTTTGCTTTTTCTCTCTAGCAACCATAAATAGCAAACCCTTGTGCCTTCTTTCAACCCTCACCCAATCAAAACAGTAGCACCAGAGCAGGATATTTGCTACCCATTTCCTGAGGACCTTTTCAGGACATTCGGTTTCTATTTCCTGGGTTACTTTTGGTTTCTATTCTTCTTTTCTCCCCATGTTTATTGAAAGTTCAAAAAGGACATAATTATATGTGCACTAAACATAATGAGATGTAAATAAAAGAGAGAGAGAAAAAGAGAAACAGTAGCTATGTAGAAGGGAAAATAAGGGGGGGGCAAAATTGTATACAGTCGAACCTCGGTTTTCGAACGTCTCCGTTGATTAACATTTCGGTTTTCGAACACCATAAACCTGGAAGTAAATGCTTTGGTTTTCGAACAAGCCTTGGAAGTCAAACGTGCCACGTGGCTTCCTTACTGAGTTTTCTGTATTGAGGCTTCCGTATCGAGTTTTCGGTTTTCGAACGTTTCAGAACTCGAACAGTCTTCCGGAAGGAATTACATTCAAAAACCGAGGTACCACTGTACTTTACAAAGTTGTTATTGTACTGCACCAGATCTTAACCTATTACAGTATTTGTAAGAATGGATTCCAAATATCATTGAATTTGTCCATGGCAAGTCTATGTTTATATGCAAGTTGTTCATATGTTACGAGTTTGTACACATCTTCAATTCAATCATAGAAGGGAGCCCCATTTTTATTTTTCCAGTTCATCAGTATCAGTCTTTTTGCTGTGGTAAGGGCATGGAGAGCCCACTTGTATTATCCTTTTGTACGGTGCCATGTGCTGGGTATATAATTCAAAAGAATATTTTGCTCTATAAATGTAAGGTTGTTCCATACAGTTCAGTTGCTAGTTTCAGTTAAAGGTAAAGGTACCCCTGCCCGTACGGGCCAGTCTTGACAGACTCTAGGGTTGTGTGCCCATCTCACTCAAGAGGCCGGGGGCCAGCGCTGTCCGGAGACACTTCCGGGTCACGTGGCCAGCGTGACGAAGCTGCTCTGGCGAGCCAGAGCCGCACACGGAAATGCCGTTTACCTTCCCGCTAGTAAGCGGTCCCTATTTATCTACTTGCACCCAGGGGTGCTTTCGAACTGCTAGGTTGGCAGGTGCTGGGACCGAGCAGCGGGAGCGCACCCCACCGCGGGGATTCGAACCGCCGACCTTTCGATCGGCAAGCCCTAGGCGCTGAGGCTTTTACCCACAGCGCCACCCGCGTCCCATAGTTTCAGTTACCTTCTGCCAAAAATCTTTCAATATAGGACAATGAAAAAACATATGTTTTAGAGAAGCACTATCCCTATTGCATCTCCACTTTTGGTTTCTGTTCTTGGCCACTGCTCACGTACTCCTCTCGAAAAGCAGGTCCAGGTGCAGCAGTACTCTGGACCTCCTTACCTGGTCACAAGAAAGGCACCACAACTCATTTGTTTATATTATCATTGTATTTCTAGGGTTTCTAAACCTTGTAACATCTGTAGAAGCAGCATCAACAACAAGCATTTTGAGCTGCCTGCTCAGGAAAGTGCTCCTCCAAAAAAAGTGCTGAGTTCCAGTCTAGCAGCCACTTTCAACAGGAGTGGTCTTGTTGACTAGCTGGCATAGGAATCAACTCCTAGAGGCTGAGGGGTCTTTGGCTCTCCCAAACAAAATATTTGAGGAGCCCTAGGGAACTTGCTCCAGAGGACGCAGCAATGGATACCAACCTGGATAGCTTAAAAACAAGATTAGACCAATTCACGAAAGGAGAGGGCTATCAGCCATGACGGCTATGTTCTTCTTCCACAGTTTAAGGCAGCAATGCTTCTGAACCCTGGTTGTTGGAAACCTTACCTTTGCTGGCTCACCACTGTGATGAGGCCAAGGCCTCTGCCACCTCAAGGCCTCCACTGAGGTCCACTGCTGCTGCAGACATACTTCAGGAAGCCGGGCTTCACTTCTGGAAGTGCAGGATGGTAAGTTGGCAGGAGGCAGTGGGCTGAGGCAGCCTGCACACTTGCAGGTGTGTGGGTGTGTGGCAGTGGCAGTGGGCCAGGTCAGGCGGAGGCTGAGCGCGTTGTGTGGGTCACATCACAGGCGCATGATGCGCGTTGCCCATGTGACGTCACACACACACACATGATGCTGGGACCCCTCAATCTGGTGTGCAAGTTGGCGCCTCAGCTCAGCGGCGAACTATGGCTAGCCGCATGCACATCCCTGGCAAACACCGGTTGCCTCTGCTGATGCTGAGGATGCCCCAAAGGCGAAGCTAATGACATTGTTGCCCCTCGTTTTAGGCCATTGCAATCTCATGGAACATTTCACACACAGTGTCTTACGCGGGTGGCCTCTGGCTTCTTCTCCCGCCCCCCCCTTTTTTTGTCTCATTCGCCCCTCAGCCCAGCTTCGCCTGCATTTTGGCAACGACTTCGTTTTCTCCCTCGGCCGCATGGCGCCCTCGGCTAGTTTGCTTCAGCTTCCCGCGCCCATGTGGCCCGGGCTAGTAGCTCTTGGCCTCCCCGCCCCTTGCTTCCCTCAGCTCGTGGATGTCCTAAAGGCGGGAACGGGGGGTGGGGAGGATATGGGAGGTGGGGGGGGCGGTGGGAATAGACATATATATATATATTTGTCGTCGTTTATAAGGAGGTGGAGCGCGGGCTTGTGCTGTTCTGCTGGCAGCGAAGCGGGGAGGAGGAGGGGAGGCGGGAGAGCTGGTGGGACAGACTGAGGTGGGTGGAGGGGGCGGGTGTTGTGCGTTTTCCTCCGCGAGCGCCGCCGAGCAGTTGCAAATTTCCCCTCAGCAGCGTGGCCAGCCCAGGAGCACCTCAGCCTTTCCCAGGCAGCGGCAGCGGCCAGGGAGAAGACCAGACGTCCCTGCCTATCACGAGCCTTTCCCTCTCAGCCCCGGTTGCCGCCTCCGCCGCGGACGCCTGCCTCGCCGCGGGCCCCCTCTGCCCAGTTTGACGGCGCAACAGGACGAAGAGGGACGCAGCCCGAAGGTTCAGCGGCGAGCCCGGCACCGACCTCTTCCCTCTCCCAACAGCACAGGCAGAGTCCTGGGTGAGTCGAAGAATCCGGCCTCCTCCCCACGCGTTACATTCACCCTAGGAAGATGCAGGGCAGCCCCAGGGATGCATGGCAGGTTTGCAAGGCTGCTGCATTTGGTCAGGGGAGGGATTGTGGGAAAAGGGAGCGCAATGCTCCTTGTCTCCGTTTGTATTTATCGCGCTAAATAATCCCAGCAGCAGCAGCAGCAGCAGGGATCTGGCAAAGTTTTGCATCTCCTGCGCTTTTTATTGAGGCTTTTGTGAAACAGGGGAGATGCAAAGCAAACGGTGTGTTGACCAAGTAGAAAGGGATGCCTCAACACCCAAACCTTCCTTACTATCTCCCCTCCCTTTTCTCCTTCTCCTTCAGGCTGGAAAGAGTCATGACAGCTGAAAAGACTATTCCTATAATTAATGGCAAGCCAGAGGATGCTCTGGACCCCGAAGCCTCAAGTACCAACTTGGTCCACAGTAACGATAAGAAAGTGCATGAAAGAGGCCACTGGAACAATAAGGTTGAATTTGTGCTTTCTGTGGCTGGGGAGATTATTGGGCTGGGAAACGTGTGGCGATTCCCGTATCTCTGCTACAAAAATGGAGGAGGTAAGATGGCATCATGTGTAAATGCATAGCTTTCATGCCCTAGGGAATCGCCGAAAGGTCTGTGCGCTTAATTTCAGGAAAAAGAGGTTTTCTCAGTGTATGCTAGCATTCAGGCAGGTGTGAGCATGGCATGTAAAATGCTCCACCTGCAGTATGGAATTTAGATTAATGTAGTGACTGTGTAGAGTCATGTTGATAAAAGGACAGGTTTGTTGGCTAGACTGAATTGAAAACACACCATGCAACCCCTTTGAAAGTGTTGTTGTTGTTTAAAAAAACCCCTTTAATGACAAATATCAGTTTTGACTCTCAGGAAGAAGGTTTCTTTTCCTAAAGCTTGTTGCTGGTGAATATTATAGAGTTTAGACAAAATCCATGTTAAATGTCTCCTAGCAAAGCAGTGCTACCGCATGGGTGTTTATTGTGGGGTTAGAGTTCCTCAGATATTCAGGTATTTAGCAGCATTCACATGTTGTTGGGTTCAAAATGTCAGACTGTATATTTTGCACATTTAATCCAAATGTACAATTTCTAAGGGATATCCGATGTTAACAACAACACACTTGTTGCTAACATTCTATCTGCAAATCTCAATGGCCTATTTCCAAATTAAGCCCCATCTAGAAGCACCCAAATAACATGTGCATTATGCAGATCTTTTATAGGCAGCAACACACTTCTTTAACTGCATGGTGGACAGTGAAGAAAGAAACTGTTATATTGACTGCATTTGTGTGTTTGTGTGTGTGCATGCACATATATTTGCTAGTCTTTAAGGTGCCACTAGACTTTTTGTTAATATAACTTTGGAAAGTATTACCGATTATACTGTCACATATACTATACTCTATACAGTTATAGAGATTTTATGTTGCATACTGAAGTTATGCTCACAGTGCAACCTTAAGCATATTTATTCATGTGGAGTTCAATGCTGTCTTGGCATGGTGTTGGCACAGCAGCCTCAAGTTTTTGTTTTTACAAATTAGGTAGACTTCATTTGTATTGCCATGGAGCTCTGTGATGACCACTGGCTTTAAATAGCTTCTAAAAGTGATTTTAAGGTCTGCCATTGGCTACTAACTATGTTAGTATTCAGAAATATAACCATCAACCACAATTCAACACACAGTGAAGTGCTTTTATAAGACCATCAATTCTCTGTGTCAGAAAGAACCTCTGAATGCTGTTCTTGGGACAGTCAACATGGAATGGATAGTTCTCTTTTGCTTTGCTCATTGTAAACAGGTGTTAATATATCTGATGATCGATTGAATTTTCCACTTTTTAAACATTTGAACAGTAATTCTTAAAGTCATGCCACAGTAAATGCTGTTTTTGAAAGTGTTTCAATAGTATTTTGCTATGTTTCATTACTCTGTGTGTGTTTGGGGGAGAGGTGACTGATTCTTGAGAACCACAAGTCTAGGAAGTTTGGGATGAGTAGAGCTAGTAGCATGGTTCTTTGGATCCTGTCCTGAATGCTAAACTTGATGAACTTCTGCTCTGTAATAGCACAAGGAGGCAAATAAGATCAATGTTTTCAAAAGAAAAGAGGGTGGATTGTAAACCGAAGAAGGGACATACTGTTACAGCAAACTCTAAACAGTATTCAGTACAGTACTGTGATATTGTGAGGCAGGATGAAATGCAATTTGGATTAGGTATTATCCTTAGATTATTAAATGACAAAATATTATAGATATTATCTATTCTAGGTATATATTTATGGATCACATTCATAATAGTAGCTATACCATGCAAGAAACATATATGCCTATATGCACATATGATCAATGAAAAGAAAATGTATTCTCTAGACTACTGGTTCCCTAACTCCCCTGACCTGCCCCCATCATTAACCACTTGAAATTGCTGAGGCTCTTGACAGTTGTAGCAATTATAATGCACTGTGCTAGATGCTGATTGATTTTCATTGAACTGAAATTGCAATACAATTAAAAAATAAGATATAAAAGAAGTAAGAAAATACAGTTTAAAATGTAAATTAATATTTAATCCAGAGGCAGAGGCACTGTGTATCACCTTAATGAAGTTCATGGACTACTGACTGTCCATGGACCTCAATTTTGGAACCCCTTGCTCTAGTGGTTCCCAGCCCCCCCCTCCAAGGACCATTTGGACATTGCTTATATTTTTGGTGTACCACCTAATGATTTTTCTGCCTCTTTTAGCAACTGTAATTTCACATAATGCAAATTGTAATACAATAAAGAATTACAGTAATTCTTCTACTTCTACTTAATACAGTAGAAGAAATAAAACAAGAAAAGTACAATTAATAATCAGCATAGATATTAAAAATGATGGATATACTACTTTCCATCTTCATCCACAAATCCAGAGACATGTTGTGGATCACATGAATGAAACTTGTGGATTACTGGTGGTCCATGGACACTATACACAGTTTGCTATACACAGTTCCACTTCCCTTAAAGTTATAAGGCTACAATTCTAAGCACATTTTGGGACTAAGGCCATTGAATATGAGAGTAATTTATCTACAGATAAGCTTTAAGACCAGAATCTAAGCAATTGTGCAACCAGTCCATTGGGTTGTCCATTGAAGAGTAACCTCCCATACTATATGGCTAGTAGGTTATGCTTTCGCATAGAGGTGATGCTCCTCAAACGTGGAAAAGTAGAGGCGCTGGCAGAGGTGGGAGGGACTATGATGTGCGCTCAGCCAATTGAGTACACTTACAATGCCTAGTTCTATCCTGACCTAAGACGTTTGTAAACAAGTATACTGCAAAGATTCAAACACTGCCAAAAGAGATGGGGATTGTGTTCGTTAAACAACATGAGGGAAACTGTGTTGGGTAGCCTGTCTACAAAGCAGCACAGAAAGTGTGAATCTTTCTTTCTTGTTTCTCTGCCAACAGTTCAGGGCCAAAATATTTTGTGTTTCTGTACTGCGGAGCACCATCATGAATTTGGCCCATTCGGTTTGCTAGGTCTCTTAAAAGCACAGTGTGTAGGTTTACTTGCTTTTCTTTATTGTCGTCTGTTGCTACACAGTGGCAGAAAAACAAGCTCTTCTGTATTAACAATGATTCTTGTTGGTTAGTGTTAGTCAATTCCTCATGCTGTTTTTGTTACATGATGTTGACAAAGCTGGGGGTGTCATTTTTATGCCATATGATCAAGCAAATTTCCTACTTCAAGGTATACGTTCGTCAGGGCAAAATAAGAAATATGTTACATAGGAACACAGAAGCTTCTTCTTCTTCTTCTTCTTCTTCTTCTTCTTATTATTATTATTATTATTATTATTATTATTATTTTGAGGGTCTAAGTACTGCTTTTCAGTGGTTAGTGCAATACTGACTCAGAACTTCACTTCTTCCATGTTAAATTTACCGTAGTTGAGATATTAGATGATACTTGATTGGTGGTGTAGGAAATGTATAGCTTTTGCTTAGGTGTTTTGAGAATTGATGCTTGTTTTTGACATAGAGACAGGTTTGTTTGCTTTTTTTTATATAAAGGCCAAACACTTCAATCCTATACAGTGGTACCTTGGGTTAAGTACTTAATTCATTCCGGAAGTCCGTACTTAACCTGAAACCGTTCTTAACCTGAAGCACCACTTTAGCTAATGGGGCCTCCTGCTGCTGCCGTGCCGCCAGAGCACAATTTCTGTTCCCATCCTGAAGCAAAGTTCTTAACCTGAAGCACTATTTCTGGGTTAGCGGAGTCTGTAACCTGAAACATATGTAACCTGAAGCATATGTAACCCGAGGTACCACTGTATACCTGTACTCAAAAGTAAGTCGTACTGAGTTCAGTGGGTCTTATTTCTGGGTAAGCAGCAAGGGTTGCCACCCTTTCTGGCCTTTTGGAATTCTGATTACTCTGACACCACTACTTTGGTTGCTTTCCTCCCCACTTCCCCAGGTCAGTGTCTCTCTTCCTTGCTCCTCGACAGACAGACACTCATATGAACACAAGTCCTTGCTTTTATAAGGGGTCTAGGCAAAAGTCTGATCCAGTAGAACTAAAACAGACCTTGAATTTGCATGATTTTACGCATCCTCTACAACCACAAAATTAAAGCTTGCACTGGTAGACTGCACTGTTAAAATCACAGCTCTGATGCTTTCTAGCGCTACAGAAGCATTGATCCACAAGGGATCCTCATGGATCTTCATAATTTTTACAAAGGCTGATGACAAAAACCACCAAAAAAACCCCCACAGTGTACCCAGAGTACAGTGTACCCAAATAAAAATAAAATAAATTACAATGGATTTGTGCTTTGGATCTACAGTTACGTACTGCGACAACATTGGAAAGCACTGGGTTTGTGAATGTCATGGTTCAGTCAATGGAGTTAAAACAGATTTTCAAGGGGTTAGAGAGAGAATGAGAGATTGGTGAAAGTCAGTCACCTCCCTTCTCGAGCTGGTGTGAACATCCTGGTAGCAGAACTATACTTATGGGATTTTTTTGCCTCCAGTTAGTTAGTTAGTTAGTTAGTTAGACTCACTATTCCTTTACAGTGGTACCTCAGGTTACATACACTTCAGGTTACAGACTTCGCTAACCCAGAAATAGTACCTCGGGTTAAGAACTTTGCTTCAGGATGAGAATAGAAATTGTGCCCCGGCGGCAGTGGGAGGCCCCATTAGCTAAAGTGGTGCTTCATGTTAAGAACAGTTTCAGGTTAAGAACAGACCACTGGAACAAATTAAGTATGTAACCAGTGGTACCACTGTATTTGTCTCTTTAACTTTCATAATGGAGTTGCATAGGTTTTTTTTTTCATCTAGAAAAGCACCAGAATTCTGTATTCTGAAAAGGCTTGAAACAATAGGTTTCAGCAAATGGCCAATGTAATTTATTTGCAAAAAGAAAACCAAGAATTGAAGGTGTTCCTGAATAAAGATTTCTATGTGTGATTGTGCTGTCCTTGGAAGACTTGAAAAATTAAGTGTTTGTTGAAATGCTATTGCATTTTTCTCAAGTAGGTGTACTTAGAATATCATTACCTAATGTATTAAATTATTATTAGAATGCTTCAGTCACTAAGGTCCACTGGTGTACATGAGAGAGGTGAAACTGTATTGGAAGAAGATTCAGTTTCTTAAAATTTCTGCATGCCACTTGCTCTCTAGAACCAATCCAGCAATATTTTCTAAACTTTACCAAACTGCTTAACGACACATGAAAAATATTCAGCTTTCACTGTTGGGTGTCCCCCCCCTTTTTTTTAGTGAATGTCTGTTACTGTGATCATATTTACTACCCAAATAAAATAATTTTGTTTGCAAACTTATTTAAGGAAACCTGCTATATTTTCAGGGCTAAGTAATAGCATAGTATATGCTTTGGTGTGCTGCATGAATGGAAGTCAATACAAGAATATTCAACTGTTAGTTTCACCAGTTAAGTTTAGTTACTTTAAAAGTATAGACAAATTAAAGTTAAAATTGCTTAGAACTATGCAATTGGAACTATTATTAGTATCATTTGTTTAGGTAATTAGTCACTTTACACAAGTTTCTCTAAGCAATTTACAAATACAGTCATACCTCAGCTCCCAAACACCTTGGAAGTTGAACATTCCGGCTCCTGAACAATTAAAAACTGGAAGCGATTGTTTTTTTGGAAGCCAAACGTCCAACGGGGATTCCAAAAGAACAATCGCTTCCAATTGGCTGTAGAAGCCGCGCTTTGGAAGTCCAACATTTCAGAAGTCAAACGGACTTCCGGAACGGATTCTGTTCAACTTCTGAGGTACGACTGTAATAGTAAAAAGCAATGCATAAAAAGCAAAAAACGAAGTAATTCAAAGCGAAGTGCAATACAATGTAATCAGACAATAAAGGTTATACATTTACTAGTTAGATTTTCCATGCTACACATTTTGTCTACTGTTCAAGTATCTTCTCTTGTTACATTTGCCATTGGGGTGCTACAGCAGATATAGTCCATATGGTGACTGATTAATGCTTGGCCGCTTATGAAATGAACTGTAGCCTTAATGATTTGGGTCTCCTTGCCCACTTTCTACATTCCTTGTACAGTGGTACCTCAGGTTACATACGCTTCAGGTTACATACGCTTCAGGTTACAGACTCTGCTAACCAAGAAATAGTGCTTCAGGTTACAGACTCTGCTAACCCAGAAATAGTGCTTCAGGTTAATAACTTTGTTTCAGGATGAGAACAGAAATCGTGCTCCAGCGGCGCAGTGGCAGCGGGAGGCCCCATTAGCTAAAGTGGTGCTTCAGGTTAAGAACAGTTTGAGGTTAAGAACGGACCTCTGGAACAAATTAAGTACTTAACCCGAGGTACCACTGTAATGACTGAAGGGTGTGTGGAGGCTTAACACATGACGGGTTGAGAATCCATGCAGTGAGTGCTTCTAAATGTCTTTGGCCTGCCAGGTATCTTGCCACAGGGAGGTCATTTTGAGTCACATCCCAATGGCATAAGTGTTGTACAGTGGTGTCATCAAGTCAGGGCTTTGGGACAGAAGTCAAAGGCCCCCAAACTCAGCAGGGTTGGCTTACTACATTTTGAAGTAAGTGAAGGAAGACAGAAAGCCATCTAAAGAAGTCACCCCCAACCTCCCCCACCCAATAAAGTCCAGGATCTATGATTGCCTAACTGCATCATTAGCATTGGGTGCTCTACACCAGGTCCAAGTCAATAACATTTAAGCATTTAACTGGGAATGTCAGTTCCATTGATATTTCTGGTTGCAAATATTGATACTATAGTAGTTTCTTATCCATAGTGTGCGAATGCCTTTGCTTTGTGAGTGGGTTTAATACTCACATGCACAAAATGATTATAGCTCATATTTATAATAACTTTTTAGAGACCACGGGTACATGTCCCAGAGTATGTTAGATCTGCGATTCAAGTGTAAGTAAAAATCAGCCTGAAATATGTATTGGATAATATTAAGCTTGTTGGTATAACAAATTGTTGGCATTTAAAAATCAATTTTGAAAACTCGGGGGCCAGAGCTATGCATCTTTACCCGCATGAATATTCCTTTGCTATCAGTGATACTACATTCAAGACAGGGGCTCATCCATATTTCCAGTTGTCCTGTTGCTTTCCCCCAGAGGAAACTGCTCTTCAGCACTCAATCAAAGCAAATGGCAATTAATTAAGGTTTCTCCTGGATTGCCATTTGTTCCAATCTATCACTATAGAGAGGTTTTTCCATTGGGAAGGAGTGGGGCAAGGGGAAAACCACTCAGACCCACACTTTCTAGGCATGGCACAAGCTCAAGGGTGGATGAGCCCAGGGTGTTGTTTGAGATAAGACAATAAAGTGATGTTATGTACGGTAGTCTTGTATAAATAATTGATGCATGAAATGAAACTTATTACTTATCTTTAAGGACCTGGATCAAACTAAATAATACATATCCAATCCTTGCTTTTAGGTGCTTTTCTCATACCCTATGTGATTTTCTTTATTTGCTGTGGAATACCAGTGTTTTTCCTGGAAACTGCCTTGGGACAGTTTACTAGCGAAGGAGGCATTACATGTTGGAGGAAAGTTTGTCCACTATTTGAAGGTACATGTCAAATTCTCTCTTGTTTCCAATATATAAACATGTATGCGTCTATCTATGCATGTGCACACACGGAACATTCATGAGTTTTGGAAATATCTTACAAATGGAGCAAACATATTTTTTTATTGCTTCCTTCAACAACAAAAACATTGCACCTGCCATTCTACACATCTTTCTTACTGATGCTTTCGGAACTTAGTTAGCAAATCATGCCAAGTCCTAACCAGTGCAGCACATCAGAGGACCAGTAAACTCAGGAATCCTCAGTTCAAATCCACTTTAACCATGAACTCATTGAATAACCACTTTCTTAATCCTAGCTTTATCCCACCCAGTCTATATTATGGGGATAATGATGCAGCGCAAAAGTTAATGATACCAGATCACCTTACAGGTAGCCATTAGCCAGATAATGCATGCAAAGTATCTGGAGAATTTAGGAAAAAGTTGTATGTTAAATGCTTTGTTGTAAACTTGGAATGTTTCCTCTTCTCTATACATTGAAACAGAACCTCTAAAATCATTTCCCCAACACTTTAACATGCTTTACCTACATTTGAACCCATTCCATAGCCCTGCTGTTCTCAGCCTTGGCCTTATTTCATTACACAATCCAATTTGTCACATATATTCAAAGACTGCTCCCCCCATGACCAGTTCTTCCCTTACAGCCCTTATATTTATATTTTCAGGGTTTTCTTTGTAACAAGTGACAATCTTAGAATCTGAACAAAAACTGCTTTCTGACTCTCGTTCCCTGTTCCTTTAACAATGCTGAAACAAGTTCCTGTATTTGTACTTTGCAGGTATCGGATATGCTACCCAGGTTATTGAGGCACATTTGAATGTTTACTACATCATCATTTTAGCATGGGCCATCTTCTATTTGTTTAACTGCTTTACAACGGAGCTCCCCTGGGCAACCTGTGGGCATGAATGGAATACAGGTATGGGCACAATGAACATACAATCTGTATGAATATGTTAAAAGAGCAGCAGAGTGATTTAATATTTAAATGTTTATGGGGCCAAACAAGATAATGGTGAAAATTAGTGTAATTCAGGTTTGCAACACATGATGTAAGAATAAAGGGATGAATCCCAATAATTAATGTTGATTATTCCAATAATAAAAGTAATCCCTTCAAATCTTCCCCCATACATCATTTTGCTTCATGAATTAAACAGTCTGGTTTAAACAGCATGTATTATTTTTGAAAATCTTCCCTTCTAAAACATACTGGTTTGAAAAGGTTTGAACATATTGAACATAGTACAATATGTTCCTTAGCTGTTTATTAAAACTTTGCAAACTGAACATAGAGAAAGTATATGTAGGGTTTTTTTACCTCTTATGTAATGGAATTTAGTATATTATTATTATTATTATTATTATTATTATTATTATTATTATTTATTATATTTTAAAAACTTACATCTGAGCTCACTGTAAACTTGAAGACAAAACAGTTTACATTTTTTTGATTCACACAGCTATCTGCTGGATCAAACAGCTTTCCATCAACAGATGGACACATTTGCATACTATTGTGAATCATTAAACATTGTAATGAAAAGTGTGTGCAAGTGTGAAAATATGGAGGCAGAGATTCAGAAAGGGTTACATGTGTGCACTAAAACAAAAGGTGTGGAAGGGTTGCCAATCTGTTTATACTTCCAGTCTTACCTCTTGAAATTTTTGTGGGTTCTTTTTGTTGAGTCCAGTGGAAAGCCCCTCACACTAACCTTTGGCAAATATTAATTCTCTTATGAGTTTACATGTAGTATAAACTACAAACCAATAACCTTTTTATTTGGTGATGTATAAGGGCACGTTGAATTAGTTCATTACACTTCAAAGGGAAATAATACATTATTAAATGGTAAGGGTTTTCTTTTCATATTCCTCACATCTAATATAATTTTTAGTGAGAATTGTACTCTTTCATCCTCATTCTTTTATTCATTTTAACAGCTTGGGACTCTTACTTGAATCTATTGATGTTTAGGTAAATTAAAAGTCTAGCATCAAGTCCATCAGAAATGATAGTGCTTCAGTGTCCTTTTTGGCATCTGTTTAGGAAAGCCTAGCCAATATTCAATGCTGTCCAAATAGTAAGTGTCAACACAATAATGGAGAACTGCTTTGATCTCTTTCTACCATTTCTCTCATGCCAGAGATAACAGTGTGCCAAATGGTAGCTTTGTCACTTGCCATAGTAAGTCCACCTTTCTGCTGGTAGAAAGAGATTCCCGAGCCAGTGATAGCAATTGAACTGCGGTCAACTGAATCAAGCACAATGCATGATTAAACTCCCTAGCAATCAGAGGAAATTATCCTATTTCTGCTGCCTCCAACTGGTCTGTTTGTTGCAGTTGTAACAAGACAAACCAAAAGCAGCTAGTGAACACCTTTCTGAGGACAACCAGTATGAATTAGTAATCAAAGCATGTGACTGAATCTTGTTTTCAGATCTCCGTGACCATGATCTTAACATATTCAAAGTGAACTTGAAAGTTTTAAAATCGCAGCATTAATTTTTTTTTATTCTTTTACAGAACACTGTGTAGAATTTCAAAAAATTAATATGAGCAACTGTTCCCAAGAATATTTGCAGAATGCTACTTCTCCAGTCATGGAATTTTGGGAGTAAGTATAACTAAACTTTTATTCTAAACTAATTGCAGTATTAACTCCCTTCAAATGAAAGGTGTGGAGCAAACAATAATAGCTAAATGTAAGCTTATGGCAACGTGAGAATTTCAGCAGCAAACTGTTTTTACATAAAATTCACATAGGTGACACCGAGAACTCTTCCATAATAATAGGAAATAAAAATATATATTTTCTTTGGGAATGAATATATGCAATCCAGACACATTTACTTGAAAGCACGTCTCATTAAAATCAAACTTTGTTCTGCACATGATGGTTAGTATTTTGTGTATGCATGTGTGTTGAGAGGATGGGAATGTTTTCCTTGGAATATTATCTGTAAGAGTTTGTTGCAAGACTTTCCTGAGCAGGGCCCTGAAACTTAGATTTCTGTTGGAAGGGACTGCTAATCTCAGCCAAATATTATCAATGCATAGGAGATGGCATATCATACATAATACCTTATCTGAGCATTTCCTGTTGTTTAGGAAATGTATTGCCCTTAGTTTGGTTTTTGGCTAAGGTTACCGTATTTTTCGCCCTATAGGACACACTTTTTCCCCTCCAAAAAGGAAGGGGAAATGTGTGTGCGTCCTATGGGGCGAATCCAGGCTTCAGGAGAGCCCCACTGCCAGCCCCACAAGCTCGGGGGACAGCGGGGAGGCGCAGCGCGCCATCCCACTGTCTCCCGACGTGGTTTGGAGGCTGGCGGCGGGGAGAAGCGTGCTGTTCTGGGGGCTGGGGTCAGGGGAAGCTCTGGCTTCCCCTGCCTCCGCCCCGCGCCTGGGGAAAAAAAATAATTTCCCCCCTTTATTCTCCCCCCAAAAAATCTAGGTGCGTCCTATCGGCCGGTGCGTCCTATAGGGCGAAAAATACGGTGTATTCCAGTTGTGTTCTCATTGTGGTGATGATGGCAGGGGTGGGAGAGAGTGTTCCTTTGCTTGTTTTGGTCCCAGTGCTTCAATTTTTCTTTCGCTATGTTTTTCTGAGCTATCTATGCTGGCTGAAAAATGTTCACAAAAATATCTAGTGAATTTTCCCCAGCATTTTTAAGCATTAGGAGAAGGAAGCACAGGAGTTCTCTTTATGTGTGTTTATACTTCTGACCATCTGCTGCTACAGATTTTGTAGGGAGTAATTGCATCTAAAATGCAGAGACACAAAATTTGCACGGTCAAATGTGTTGAGTGGAGTTTCTCTTTCCCTTTATGCCATAACTGTACATAAATGGGGAGCTTGTGCCTGGTCATCTTTGTGCAGGCAAAACAGTCTATTGTTTCCCCAACAATTACTATTTTTTCCTGTATTTTATTTTTTTAAAAAACTTGCATAACTGGACATCATCCATGACTGAACCTGGAAAATGGATTGATTTCACTGGTGCTTCTGAGATGTTGCATTGTTCACCTGAATAGCTGCGACCTGATAAGAACTCTCTTAACCATGAATTGTATCCACCACTCTTGCTCCATTTACATAACAGACTTCTGCTTATGCAATGAAACTTGCCTTTTCTCCCTTGCTGCAGAGGGTCCAGGTACCCTCCAAAGCAGATTTTGGGGGTGTGCGGAAACAGAGATGTTACGTTGTGATAATAGAATGCTGATTGTGCATTATTGGACACAACCACATGCGTCTGGGAGTTTCCACTTCCTAGAATCCAAATATTAATCATTCAATCCAGGTAGGAGTGTGGGCAATGATTCTGGTAAATGACAACTTACCAATTTCTAAGTAATAAAAAATAATTTATGCTAAGCCAATTTCCTTGCTATCTGGGCAATTTATTTGTACAAAATAACTATCCTGTGAAAAAACTGAATTGAAGCATTTGTTTGGTGCAGAACTGTGCCTCAGAAGAGGAATAATTTGTGTGCACAAGCCGCTAAGACTTGTTTTTAAATGATTGATGAGAAATCCAAGCTTTCATTTCAGCAAATGTTGAGCAGGTTCTCTTGTGTTTTTTAACCCCATCAGTCATGCTGTGCTCTGTAGGCATAAGCATTCAAAGCAACAAAATTAACAAAGTAGCATGTGGTGGAGTATAGATGTGCTCAGAGGCCAGCTGCACACACACGCACACACACACACACACACACACTGAGAGAGATCGGAGAGGAACCTGAGTCTTTCCTTTTAAAAGTGTAAATGCTGTATTTCTACTAAAATTCTGCAGTAGTCACCTGCAAACATTCTTTAAGATTGCCTTTATTAATAAATCCCTGTGCCACTCCCATAAATATATTGTCTACTACTCTTATTAAGACATATTCTTTGAACGGGTCGTTGACCAAGAGAGAAAGAAATAATTTGATGTTTCCCTAACTATAATAAAGGACAGAGTTCGTTTAAGTTGGGGAGTGTTTTCTGAGTTGAACTGAACATTCACCACTATCTTGACATCTGATGGATTTGTAATGCATGGAAGCATATTCAGAGGCAATGAATATTAATACTTGCATTAGTGGATTTTGAAAAGTTTGAGGAGAACTAGAAATTTATCAGGGATGAAAGAGTGCATATTTGCATTAGATCTAATTAGTTAAATATGTTGCCCCCTGGAGCATTTTTAGGAGTTCCAGAATAATATTTATATCACAATAATATTTGTATATTTGATGCATGAGGGTGCTGAGGAATGCTTTTTCTGACATTGCAGGAAAGAATACCACTGAACACTTAGAGTTATATTTTCTATATCTGCACTTTTCAAATGAACTTATTCCCATTGTTCACATGGCTTGAAAGTGTGAAGAAAGAACTAAGGATACATTGTATGCTGTGCTGACTATGATTTCAGGTTTTGTTTAAAATAAAAATACTATGTGATATGCAGACAGCCAAATTTCTGTTCATATGCCTACCCACATTACAGTTTCACAAATGCACAAATCCAAAAGAGAAGAACGAGAACTTTAGGTCCTGTTGGCAAATGCTAAATTTTGGCAAAGTATGGAGTTTGGAAAATCAAGAAAGGTGCCCCTTGTGCATTCAGGAATACTGTAATTCACCATCACAATATACAGTACTATATTTGCACCAAGTTTTTCTTATTGTCCACTACAAATAATACTGGTTTTACACATAGCCAGTACAGGTATAAGTGACATAGTAAGGGGCAGCAGGTTTGATATGGAGTGAAACCATAACTTTTAAATAAACTTATAGAATATTGTAACGCAAAATATATAATAATGTTGTTGAACGTATGAGTCCTTTTACCTATTGACTGGCCCAGTTCTTTAGTTGTGGGCACTGGTGGGAGAGAATATCTAGATGATGTGGGAGTGTCTAGTGCCAGCATGATTGTGTGTGTGTATACTCACACACAGATGTCTTGTGAGAATTTGAGAGGCACACAACTGGACACCTACTACAGTCGTACCTTGGAAGTCAAACGGAATCAGTTCTGGAAGTCTGTTCGACTTCCAAAACATTCAGAAACCAAAGTGTGGCTTCTGATTGGCTGCAAGAAGCTTCTGTAGCCAATCGGAAACCCTATCAGATGTTCAGCTTCCAAAAATAGTCACTTCCTGCTTTGTGGCATTTGGGAGCCAAAATGTTTGAGAACTAAGCTGTTCGAAAACCAAGGTATGACTGTATATTTTAGGGATCCCTTAGTTGCACAGGGAATGAAAGCAAGTGGCAAAGCTCAGTCTGAATTTGCAGGCTACAAAATGTAACAAATAACCCCATGCCTCTGTATGATAAGCTGATAAACTGTAGTGCTGTAGGGCTGTTGTGTGATGTTGGTTATGTTATAAATATAGTGGTGGAAGTTCCTTGATGTAGCCAAGCCATGATGCTGGTTTATCGACCCAAAGGCTGGAAACAGTTGAAATATACATGTTAGATAGAATGGGAACGAGACTTACTTGACAACTAAACTTTTGTAGCAGGGAAGATCATCTTCTATCAAATGAGAAGGGTGCAGCTGAGGGAACCCATTGATGTAATTTTTGCTTACTGGCTCTGTTGAAGTCTTTTACCATGGTTTAGAAATACAGCTTGCTGCTTCTTAGAAAAGGATTTGGGTAAACGGAGGTGACACGGTGGTGAAGTTATTTCCACCTCAATAGTCTCCTTTGTTAGGCAAGTAACAACCCAGACCTCTGCTAAAGAAGACCTAGTTGTTAGTCTGTCATTCAGTGGAAAAGGTGGCATATCCCTCGTGTTTTCAAGTAAAGCCCAGTGAGAAAAACATTTTCTCAAAGGAAAATAAGCTATGCTCTGTAGAAGGAAAAGGTTAAAAAAAAAACTTGACAAAGTCAAAAAGAGTTTTTCCTGCTTTATTCAGGTTGCAAATAACTGCAGGAGACACATTGTTACTAATCCCCACAATCCTAGGAAAAGTCATTAGCAAGTTTGGGCCTGATTCTGGTGCACTTAGCACCCACACACTTATTCAGTTCCTCTCTGGACTGGGCCTTTTTTTTTGTGCTCAACTTGAAGAACATTTTGCTGTGCCAGACTCGTCGGTTTGTGTTCAGTTCACAGAAGGCCGTGTGAAAACATTCTTTCATTTGGATGAACACAAGTTCTCTGGGTTCTGCCTCGAAACCACAAGCTTTGCTTGGTTTTATTTGGAAGCACTGAACATGGCTAAGCCACCTTCTCTTTGATATACTAGGCAAGGTTTTGAGTTATAATAAGGCATCAATCCAGAAAATTTTAAATAGTTTGAGGAATCTGCATCATTTATTTCTATGATGCACCCTAGAGATTATGTTACCTGCAAAAGTAGAACTTTCCAAATGAATTTTGAGCAAACATGGCAGAAAAAAAATATTTTGCAAAACATTTAATGCAAACATTTAAACCAAAATATGCATCCTGGAATACATCTTTCTTTGGGATTTTTAAAATATTCATTTACCATGGATTTCTTTATTATTTCTGTTTGGTAATTCGGAATGATGGCAGGTGCCTTGGGGGATTATATACAAGGACTCAGAGTGTCTTGTCTGGACATGGTGGAAAGTGACTCCTTACCT